AAAAGGGGGGGGGGGGGGAGAAAGAGGGGGGTAACCCCCCCCAAAACCCCCCAGCGCCGGCAATTCCGACCCCGGTGCAGGATCCCCGTTTTCAGCAAAAGTTTCGGAGCGGCGGCCGTGTCGCTGGGCAGGATTACCCGTTACCACGGCAACGGCGCGCGGCGGAGCCGTGACGCAACGGCCCCCGGCCGGGCTACGCGTTGCCAGGGAGACGCCCGCGTTGCTATGGCGACCATCACGCTCATCGGGCGGCGAGGGCGGGCGGGCGGCGGCCTCTCCCGCGGGCCCGCGCCCGGCCTCGCCCCCCAGCCCTCCCCGCCGGCCTCCACGCTAAAGGCGGAAACGGCTCCGGAATGCAAAAAATAATGCCCCAAAAAAACCCCCCAACTCCCCCCATAATCTAACCACCCCCCAACAGCCACGGCCTGGTCCCGGTGACGCTGCTGACCCTTGCTATGGCTGGTGAAAGACACCATCCTGCTCGGCCCCAGCGCTGCCACGCTCGGAAAAAGGGAAGAAAACAAATTTCCGTGTCAGCAGCGAGGAGAAAGCGGCTGTGTCAAAACCCTGGTGCCTGCTGGGGGACGGCAGCCACGGGCTCTCTGTCTCCCTTGGCTAACGTTAGCCAAAACCAACCGCATGTTCAAAAATAAATGAAAAACAAAACCCGCCCCGCACCCGGTTCACTGAAGCAGGGCAGAAAAATGGCTGCTGCTCTGCCCCGCGCCCCTCTGGGATCATCCAGAGGCTGCTGGAGTCGCCCAGAGCTCTCCATTTGCTTATTTGCATTTTAATTTCAGGCATTCCTTTGCGGCTGAGGCAGGGGGGGACTCGTGGCCACCAGGCAGGGGGAACGGGCAAGCGAGGTGTCCCGCATCCCCAGCAAGGCCAGGCCGCCGCCAGCCCTCCCGGGCCCTCGTCACGAGCCCGTTTCCACACTGCGTCACTTAATTACATTTAAGGTCTTACCCAAGGTTCACATACAACACTGGAGGAAAACATTTAGAGTTGTAAAATGCATCTAGTTCTTACCTTTGATATGCCTGAGGAGATGTGGGAGGTGTATTGAACACATGCGAATATGGGTGATAGGGTGTCTTTTTCAAAGCCTGAATAAGATTTTGTCTATATTCTGGGTCTATACACCACAAGGACCCCTTTCCAATACTCTGCAAAGAAAAAAGAATTAAAAAAAAAAATCAAATTTTTGATCTAATGGCATAGCCTTATTTATTTAGCAGTATTTGTCAGGAAAAGCAGTGGGTTTTGGGTTTTTTGTCTGACAAGTGAACGTAATTTGCTTGCCAGAGATTATTGCTCCATTATAATAATGTAATTTGACGGTACGATTTAAATCACACTTCTGGGGGGAAAAAAAGTAAGAATGAATGTTTGGTTGCTCCCCATCCACACCCTCCCCCCGCCTTGTTACAAGTCAATACGATTTAATAATATCTGGCAATTTCCCCATCACCCCATATTTGAAAAATAAGCTACAGTTACTGCTACATGGAAACTTTAAAAAAAGAATGCACTTTTCTTCAAAGTGATTTTCTTTTCCTTTTTCTGTTATACTAACAAGAAATGGGGCTAAAAAGGAGGGGCTTATACACCCTAGCAACTGTTTTAAAAATAAAAGGACTTAATCCTTCAACCACATGACATCAGTGCCATTATACTACAAGAGGAAATTAATCATCTTTTCTCCCCCAAGGGGAAAAAAAATACCCAAAAAACCCAAAACAACAACAACAACAAGCCACGGTATAATCAGAGTTTAAACCATTTAAGGGTGTTGTGAAATCATGATCAGTTAAAACAACAGTTAGAGTAATTACCCTGTCTGGACACACGGAGCAACTCAAGCAGTCAATCTGTACCACAAAGACTACACTAAAATTCAGTATTTATTCTGCAGTTATGAGCAGCGCAATTTCAGCCCTTGTCTCAATCCCACCAGAGGTCAGGGTGCAGATAATTTGAATTGTTTTGTGTGAGTTATCAAACAAACAGGGGAACAACCTTCCCTTGGCTCTGCTATGAAAGCATACAACGTGATCAGGAGCAGCCTTGTTCTGCCATAAAAGCAAACACCAGTCCCAATTATTGACTGAACTCCACTGGCAGGCTTTCAAGGCATTATGATAAGACTTTTGGTACATCTTGACGTCTTCTGGAACAGGCAGGGGAAGCAGCGCTACTGCCTCCAGTCGCTCTTCAACCTCTTCTCAACTCCAACTTCTACCAGCAGAGCAAGACTCTCGGTTCCATGTGTCGAAGAACAAAAGCACACACACTCAAAAATCACACCAAAAGTGGGATATTGTTTTCTAAAGCCACAAGGAAGACCAAAACCAGACACTTTCCTTTGGAAAACTTGTCATCTTTGTGGAGCCCTACCAACTCCTAAGTTCTCCTCTGCCTCACGGATGGCTTCAGGATACACACTGCAACGTGCTTACAGACCTCCTTCCAAGTTTACAGACAGCAAATTGGCACTAAATTCCACCCCCAAAAAGCCCAGAAAAATGAAAAAGAAAAATCTTCCCCAATGTCACTGGATGGCTGTGTGGTAGCATCTAGGAAAGCATCCTGTGAGACTTGGCTAGAAAGAAAAGGAGAGGGGCCAGCACAATGCACAGAAGCAGCCACCACTTACTTTCAGAGACAAGCACATCTGCTCTAGGGGACGAAGAAGGCACCACCTTCCACACACTGCTCTGGTGGAACCAGGAACATGGGGTCAAGCCTCTTCAGGGCACCCTACCAGAAGGCCATTGAACAGTCTAAGGGGAGACATCCCCCCATTCTCAAGGTGAAGCGGGGCCCTTGCATGGCCAAAAAGCCCAAGATTCAAAGGGTTTGAGAGGGAGAGCAAGGAAGATTCTTGGGCCTTCATCTCGGTAAAGCACAACAAGAGATGAAGATCCACTGCTGGTGTCAGTGGTGGAAGCTGTGTGCCACCATCTCAAACCAGTTTGCAGAAAGGAGGTTGTTATGTTTAGCCTTCTCTTAAATATGGGACAATGAGCCAGAGACTTGACATGATAAGTCTAGTAAGTGACTTTTTAGGCAAAGGACAAAGTCAAAAATAGAATCCAAACTTCTCAAATTCCACTTGCATGCTCTATCCAAGAGCCAGAACAAGAAGAACATAAAATTTCCTTTTAAGCAAGCAACGTGCAAAACTAGGAACGTTTTTCAGGAGAAAACCTTTGCTGGATTCCTTACTCCTTACAGCATGGGATAAGCTTAAAAAAAAAAAAAAAAAGAAAAGCTGCACTTAAATGCCATCTACCTTATTTGTACTTGCTGGAACATAACATATTCTTTCCAAACTTCTCTGTTTTTTAATTTACTTCAAGACAGACTTTTCATCTACCTGGAAGAGATTACTCCCCAAAACCCACCGGAGTTAGTTCAAGTTGAGGGCCTTATAAGATGAAGTCACTACTGAAGTAAAAAAAAAAAAAAAAAGAAAAGCTGCACTTAAATGCCATCTACCTTATTTGTACTTGCTGGAACATAACATATTCTTTCCAAACTTCTCTGTTTTTTAATTTACTTCAAGACAGACTTTTCATCTACCTGGAAGAGATTACTCCCCAAAACCCACCGGAGTTAGTTCAAGTTGAGGGCCTTATAAGATGAAGTCACTACTGAAGAGTAACTTCAAAACCTTTAATTACTGCTAAGCTAAACTTGTTTGGCTTGTCCATGTCCTTGCAGAAGCCAAAAATAATCTCCCTGAAAAACAGAAACTCTCTCACACAAAAAGCATTGAGAAGAATTATACTCCTTGTTAAAAGAAACACTGGGAAGGCAGATTTGCTATATTTTGACTGCAACCGAGCTGACTTATAATTTAGCAGCAAAACCAAACACAACTTAAGGCAAAGCTCTCCAACTGTGCAAAGTTCCTTTTTTAAGATAGCTACTTTTGTTTTTCCACAATCACAAGAGAGAGCAGAAATAAAAAGAAAACCAAAGTGTCTTTGGGTTAAGAATCCTTCTTGACTCTTGGAGGTGTGAAGAGCTTCGTTAACTGTCTGTTTAGATGTGTCATTAGTCTTCCCATACACAGAGCAATCACGGGAAAGGAAATCATTGGAACTCAGACCCATCGGTTAGTGATTAATTTCCATCTTATGACACTTGGCGTGCTGCTTCACTACCTCCTCCAAGCCAAAAGTCAATAGCGGCTCCAATCAAAAACCAGCAAGGAAAGGGGGGAAAAAAAATAAATCCCTGGATTACATTTGGTCTCCCAGGCAACAAGTGGCTGAGGAGCGGATAAGAGCCCCCCTGACCATCTCGGCGCTGGAGGGCTTCCAGACCTCCCGGAGCCAGGCACAGCCACCTCGCCTCTGCCCATCACAGGTTACTGCTTCTGCATCCATGTTTAAGGTTACTAAAAACACGGGGAGTGTTACTACAAGTCGTCCCCTGCCTTGTCCAAGAGGAGACTATAGTTGCAGATAAGCTAGGTCAGAGGGACTAATGGGGAGAGAAAGCAACGCCTAGAAGTTACCCCGTAAAAGTTAATGACTAAATACTTTTTCTTTAAAAAAATTCCTTATTATCATTCTATTAGGAAATCATTATGCCTTTTTCTGTCACTTAATATATGTGTAGATTGTACCAGGATATTGTGTACTAGGTCCCAATTTATTAATTCATTTGCTCTCTCTCATATCTCAAATACATAAATCTGATTTTGCTCATTGCCATGGAAGGGTACATGATACAGCAGCCATTTGTTTTTTTCTCCCAAGGAACTCTATATAAAAATTTTTAAATCCTACTTTACACAACCTATTAGGATCCAAACAAAAACGTTTGTCATCTTTCAGTAGAACAGAAAAAGTCTGGAGTAAAAATAAAATGCTGCTTGTCAGCTCTTTCAGTTGCTATAGCTGGGGATAACAGTGTTATCTGCTATTCAAACTCTTCATTATAAAAATTTTGCTTCCGTACACCTCTCAACTAACTGCCTGGCCTTGCGTATCACCTACCATCTGCCCAAAGCTCAATTCAAAAAAATTGTGCACTGAGCTCCTTCCAAGACCGATGGCTGGGAAAGAATACATACCCCATCTATATAAAAATTCTGGCAAATGTTTATTTGAGGAATTTTGTTCCCCGGTTATTTTAGCACAGACTTGAAATGTGTTAGGAACGCAACTTTTTTTCCGGAGTTGTTCTTTTCATCGCCATACAAACAGTCTGCCCAAAATAAAGCTTTGGGAAGAGAGCAGATACAGGAACCACAAAACACACGGGCTCAGGGGGCCAGTGGCAATTTCAAATCGCACCTTCTGGAACCCCGGCTACACCTTCGCTAGGAATCTGCACGGGACGGCACTGGAACCAGGGAGCAGCAGCTCCAGGTGCCCACATCTCTCACAGCAACATCACCACCAAGAGGGTCCCCCAAGGGAACATTCCCCAAAAGGGATGTAGTGGATGGAGGGGTCTGAGCTGCTGCTTCCCTGGGTCCTTGCTGCCCTTTTCTCCTCCCTGCCCTCTTGCACATGCCTGGACCTTCTTCCACAAGCCCATTTCAGTGATTTTCCTTGAAGAGAATTTTGCTGGCACAATTTTATGTCACTTAAACTCATTAAGCTGGCTCACATGAAGGGTCTGATGAGCACCCAGTGCTGCTGCAAAGCAGGGGATGGATGCAGGGAGCCAGGGAGGGGAAGGGGAGCTCTCCTGCTGTGGTGACACCCTGATGCATCTCCTGGAAGAGCACACCAAGAAAGGACAAACAGGACCCTGGCTGGACATGAAGCAGCTCAGAAAAGGAAAAAGAAAACCAACATGATGGAGATCGGGGCACGCATGGGAGAGCTGGGGTGAGTTGGCAGCCAGGCTGGCAACCATGGCTCTGAGGGACAGACCAGGAGAGCCCAGAGACACTGAGATGCTGGGCATGGATGCATAGACACCGGGGGAAGCTGGGTAAACTGGGAGGAGAGGAACAGAAACAAGATAGCCATGGGTGAGTGAGTGACCATACATCTCTGCACAGGCACCCAGGCAAGCTGAAAATTATTCAACTGAACTCTTTGAGTTAGGACCTTGCTACTTTCAACAAGGGAATAAAAGTGAAACTAAGCCAACAACTCCCCACTGAGTAGATCCATCCTTTTTCTTCTCTGCTACC